GGACTACCCAACCGGTCGTAAGTCGAGGACTTTCCCTGCCCGGGAGCGCCACGCATGCGTGGTTCCGCCCCCTGCGCCGGCCGAGGCGTAGCTGGCAAGCGGCAGAGACGGAGCAGGCCGACCACCAGCTGGCCCAGCCCAAGGGAGGTAAGGCACCCGCCGGAAAAGGGGAAAAAAATGGCGGACAGCCTTGCTTGGCTACCCCCGTGAAATGGTCGATCGACCCCAAATGGGGTCGCGACCCATAGGTTGAGAACCGCTGCTCTAGAGGCTGGGGGGGGGGGAATTGTTCTAAAATAATAGTAAGCATCTGTTGTGAGAGAGAATTTTGCCAGCTCAAGGATAAAGTATGTATGTTAGTCCCTAGTCTCCCAACGGCCTAAAATCTTGGAAGGATGCCAAGTCCCAGGTGAGAATTATGAAACCTCACCGAACTTCACTACATGCAAAGTTTTGCAAGCTTTTTGAGACTTCTCAGCCAGGTGAAATTAACTATTTTTGGAGGGCATTTGTGATGTAGGAAGCTCAGGGTTTCCTGCAGTACTGATGGAGACTGTAAGGTTCAGATTACAACAAAGCTTCCTTTGTGCAGAAGTGAAAAGAAACGTATAGAACAGGAGTAGGCAACCTTGGCTCTTTTATGACTTGTGGACTTCAACTCCCAGAATTCCTGAGCCAGCATGGCTCAGCTTGGAAACCTCTCCCTTTCCCCTCAGCGTGGCTGGCTCAGGAATTCTGGGAGTTGAAGTCCACGAGTCATAAAAGAGCCAAGGTTGCCTACCCCGGTATAAAAAATAAAGATTGCTGAGGTTCACTGAGGTGGAAAAAGGCGGGAAATTCATCTTGTTCAGTCTCCCGATCGATGCTGAACTGTCCCAGTAGACTACATAGTTATTTTATTCATTATTTGTATCCTACCTTTATTGTTTTTACAAATCACTCAAGACAGGGAACTTATCCAACAGACCTTCCTCCTATTATTCCCACAACAACAACAACAACCCTGTGAGGTGAGTTGGGCTGAGAGAGGATGACTGGCCCCAAAGTCATCCAGCTGGCTTTCCTGCCTAAGGAAGGACTAGAACTCACCCTCTCCTGGTGATTGGCCCAAAGTCACCCAGCTGGCTTTAATGCCTAAGGAAGGACTAGAACTCACCCTCTCCTGGTGACTGGCCCAAAGTCACCCAGCCGGCTTTCCTGCATAAGGCAGGACTAGAACTCACCGTCTCCAGGTGATTGGCCCAAAGTCACCTAGCAGCCTAAGGTGGGACTAGAACTCACAGTCTCCTGCTTTCTAGCCTGGTGCCTTAATCACTAGACCAATCTGGCTCCTAATACATAAATATCTTTGAAAGATGTCTATTCACTATCTTAGGGTGGCAAGCATCCCTTTTCTGAATCAATTTTCTGCTTCTCTGGACATTTTGCTGGTTTGCAGAAAAAGATCACCTGACAGCCCATTTTGATTTGTCCATCTGGTCACATGCGGATCTGGTGGGATGCAGCCTCTGAATGGTTAGGAAAACAACAGGCTTTTTTTTTTTTGAGACTTACAGATCCATAACATAGTTAAGCAGTTTTTCTCACACTGTGATCCGCGGACCGCTGGGGAGGCCGTAATATCAACAC